GTACACACAATCTACGTCGGGCTTCATTGAAGAGGACACGCGGGAGACCACAAGACCCTTCCGAGGGCTACGCTGCCCAAGGACTGCAGAGGACGTGGGACGCGAGGCACAGGAGACAAGGGCACCCTTGATCTGAAAGGGTCGCCCTACTAATCAAGTTCGAGTGTAAGCGCGTTCTGTGACAACAGCCCCGCGCGTGGAACCGAAGAGCCACCGGCTCGAACGCGACCCCCTATGAGGAACGGGTCTGGAGGCCTGGGCTCCCTCTGCTCGCGCTGCTTTCGTTGGCCCCTGCTCGCTGCGATTCTTCGGTCGATCGAAATCGGTGCGGGGAAGATGGAGGGCGAAGACCGACAACAACTCCTGCGCATTTTGAGCCGGACTCGCTGGCGGTGTCGACGCGAACGTGGTCCAATTTGCAATGAAAGTCGCCTGCCCAACAGCAACCGCTGCCGATGTTGGGCAACAGTTGCTGTTGAACATCCTACCCATCTGTTTGCCGTACCTCCCCTGGCGTGGCCAAGCTTCAGGGCAGCGTGCGTCTCTGCCTGCCCACCGATACCGCCGCCCCACTCCCCTCTTCCACACCACCATTGGTATCATGGTCCTCCTCCTCCTCCTCATCCTCTTTCCTTCTCGTTGCAGAGCTGCTCTGAGCACAAATGCAGAGCCGTGTCGCGGCGCACTTCAGAGCAGCGCTGCCGCGGCGGGCCTATCTTCTTCTCCACCCATCGCTCGGACGTCCGTTCCCCGTGCACTGTTTGGCTTCGTGCGTGTTCTTTCTCGAGGGGGTCCAAGATGCTTCAAAATGGTCATGTTTATAGAAGCCTCCTACATGGGGTCATCGTAGATGGGGCCAGAGGATCGCGCCACATTGCCGATTCATCGGCGACGTCGGCGATGAATCGGCGCCGTCGGCGTGGAGAACATCGGGCTCCAAATCGAATCGCATCGGCGATGCATCTGTGATTCGGCGCGATCCTCCGACCCCCGTCCCTGGCGCGCGAAGCGCGACTCCGGCGCCGCCAGGGGGGGACCAGCGCCGAGCCAACAAATCCACGCGGACCTCCGGCAGTTCATGTTAATGTTGGTTCTCATGATTCGCAAGTTGGCCCAGATTCAGGACGGCCCTCGTTTCTGCAGCCCCTGGCAAACCTCATAAACTCTTGCAGATCCTGGGAGTCTCGGAACGTTTCCAGCTCATGACTTTTTGCTCCTCCGGTCATCTGGCGCTGGCCTCGCGGAGAAAAGTGCACGCGCCCGAACGATGCCGAATCCCACGGCATGGCTCCTCGAGGGGGAGGCCCCGCGGCGCCTGGGAGCGCCGCCTCGAGGAGGAGGAGGAGGAGGAGGAGGAGGAGGAGGAGGATGAGGAGGAGGGGGAGGGGGAGCGGGAGAGGCTGCGGTGTGCGGCGGTCAGCACGGCGGTGGCCGCAGGGGTGTGCAGTCCGCGGGCTGACGCCCCCCCTTCGAGGCTTTGGTGGAAAGCAGAAAGAACTCACCCTCAAGCACCCCGACAAGCAAAACCATTTAGCAAACGCACTCAAGGGAGGAATCGAGCAGGGCAGGGTTGTTTAGAAAACGCCCAGGGCCGTCTAGTAAACGCCAGTGATGAGGGTCGGGGTGGCCTTTCCTCTCTTGATTCGGAGGCTTGGAAATGGGCACCAACACCAACACAGGGGGTTGCCTCCACCAGGGGACCATGGTCCTGGATTCTGGCGTTGGTGATCATATTTCGGCTGCCCAAGATGCCAACATATGACCACCATCGCCACAATCGGGATCGTCTTCCCTCGGTGGAGGCACACAGCCGATAGTGGTGTTGGTGTCAACCTCTAGGCCTCCGAAGGCTGCCGCTGCTGGGGCTGTCATCCGGGGAGCAGCTGGTCTCGCAGCCGAGGCCGTGGCCCTCAGTGGCGCCGACTCTGCTGGAGCAGGATCTGGACGTCAAGTCGACGGCGCTGGCGCTGCAGGATCAAGAGCCTGTTGCCCCGCCCCCAGGCGTGTGGGAGCTGCCATCGACGCGGAGGCCGACGAAGATGCCTGTGCGGAGCCCTTCTCCTGGCGCAGGCGGAGGCCATACCATTGCCAATGCTCACAAGAAAGGCAAAACAAAAGACGAGAACGGGCAAGAAAGACAAGGAGTCACGAGTGCGGCGGGAGGAGGTGTTGTCGCCGTCCATCCCGCGCGACCCGAAGGTGGGACGCCTGCACGCGGCCGCCAGAGGGCGGGAGGCCGCCGCTCAGTCGGGCGCCGATGCGGAAGATCATCGAGCGCACCCCCGCCGGGGCCACTGGCAAGCGCAGGGCGGCATGGTGTGCCGCAGCGCGTCAGGCACAGATAGTCCTGGGCGGAGTACCTGCGGACAAATACGATACGGATGGCGAGGACGGCGTGGAGGTGGAGGCTGGAGGCCCGAGGAGCTCTCGCCATGGCGCTCCCCTCAATCCCGAACTTCCTCTCACTCTGCGGCACCCTCGAGTCCGGCTTCGACAAAGACGACTGCGCGGAGGCCTCCTTCCTGAGCGTCTTCTCCAGGAGGGTCGCCGTGGCGGCGCCTTCCATCCGTAGCTCCTCGGCCTCCGGTGCCGCTGGGCACTGCGACGCTGAGGCCGTCACCGAGAAGGTATCACCAATGCAGCACTTGGGCAATGATGCGACAAAGAACGCATCCAGCGACAAGCAATATTGATCGATATCTACGTCTTCGTTTCCAGCAGATGATCGCGCCTTGTAGTTCAAGGTTGCGCGGGATGCGCCTTGTAGATCAAGGTTGCGCGGGATGCGCAGGCGATGGGGTTCTCGTCCAAGATGCGAGCGTCGGCGAGGAGTTCTTCTGGCGGACCGAGAAGGTCGATATGACCGCGGTGAACGCCCTGGCGCAGCGGGATACTGCTTCAGCACGTAGATCTCATGAGTAGCTTGCCCGATGCACACGAGTGCGAAGATGAACGCGATGGTCATACATTTGGCCCTTGAGTGGGCTCTTCGATGCCGCAGCCTGGCTGATGTCAAATTGCACGGTGGCTGTCGTGCCAACTGTCTTTCCACCCCCGTACAACTACATTGGGCCAGACAAAACCCCCCAAATGTTCAACATGACGAAATGCTGGCAACCTTGGCTCGCGCAACCCTAGACAGCAGCTGCAGGTGGTCGTGCCAACCCTAGACAGCAGCATCGTGATCTCGACTGGATGTTGTTCAAATTTCGACCGCCCCTCTTCACCCCTTCGTCAATATTTCGTCCAGGTGTCGACCAAATCCGGCGAAATCTGGACGAACGCCCCAAAATCGGCAGGAATTCGGGGAGCGTGCTGTCTCGGCGGCAGGCCCAGCTTTGAAGAATGGCCGTGCGCGCTGGGAAGCTGCTTGCCGCGGCCAGAGACGAAGCAAGCGCCTGGGAGGCGAGTTTTGTAGGGTTTGGGGGCCTCCGTTTCGCAAGGGCCTTATTGTCTGTCCTATTCTCAGCGGCTCGCCCGGGGAAAAGTGGGGCAGGGGTTCGAGGTCCTGGGTTCGATACAAGTCGTTTGCCTTTTTCGGGCTCCAACGGCAGTTTTCGGGCCCTGAGACTGTCAACAACGGATGAAGCGTGAAACACTGCAACAGATGGATCCCAGGTGGGGTCCAGGGGCAGGTTTGAGCGGGTTTGCCAATTTCTGCCGCACCTTCGGTGGCGAGCCCAGGAGGGAAGCGAAGAGGGAGGGGGCGGGCCATCTCAGAAGGCTCGGAAGTCCTCGGGCCTTCTGAGAAATGTCCTAAGCATTCCCCGACGATGCGGAAAACTCCTCAAAGGCCGGATGGATTGTGAGAAGGCATGCATCCTTTTGAGAAGGCCTGCTCCTTCTCGCTTCCCCCCCGAGCGCACCGCCGACATTTGTTGAGGGATCAGAACAGCCTGTATTACATGATGGGGCCTCCTTCTCAGCTACCTCAGCCTTCCGCGAGACAAGAACATATGTTGGCGGCGCGCAAAAACTTGTTGGGAAGGGAGGAATGCGTCTTAGAAGGAGGCTGCTTCTTAGAAGGCGCCAACCTTACATCTATTACAAAAAGGCTGGCCCCCTTTAAGAAACAACAACCTCCTTCTAAGAAGCCTTCCCCCCTCCCCCCACCCCCCGCTGCACGTGGCCAGACCCGGCTGGTCGGTAGCATGCGGATGTCCTGAGAAACGTCGCAAGACGGGTCGATCGCTCAGTCTTCGAATGGGGGCAGCAGGCAAGCTCAGTTGCGCTCAATCTTTCGCGATTGATCCGAAAGGCCGCAGCCCCGTGACCCGCACACCTTGCACTTCCATATCCGTATGCTCCTCGGCGGTTCCGAACCCGTTTGCAGCATCGCACCGTATCCGTATAATTCCTCCTCCTCCTCCTCCTCCTCGTCCTCTTCCTCCTCCTCCTCCTCCTCCTCATCCTCATCCTCCGTCCTGCCCCTCCGTCCTGCCCCCCCGCCACTCCCCCGCGCCACCCCTTCTCCCCCTCCTCCCCCCTCCACCTGCTTCATCCTCCTCCTCCATCCTCCTCATCCTCCTCCTTTTTTCTTTCCCCTCGCCTAAGGCCTCGCTGTGCGGTACCTCTCCTCCTCGAAAGCGGGGGCACGGGCCCCGCTCTCGGCACTGGCGGGCGCGCAAGGGAACACGAGCCCTTGCGCTGCCAGCCAAGTCCCGTGCGAGCGAGGAAGACGAGCCTCGCCCGCACGGGACAAGCCCCCCCCAGCAAGCAAGACCTCCTCCTCCTCCGCCTGCGGCCACGTGTCCGGCATGCCGGGCGCATGGCGTACAGGGCAGGCAAAACGCCCAGGCGGACCTCGATCAAGGGGCTGGGCGGCCACCGGGGTTGTCCAGGGGGGCCTTGCCTCCCCTGGGAAGAGCCCCGTACGAAGCCGCGGGGGGGAACCCTCCCCGGGCTTTCCGCCACTCCTCCCCGCCCCTTTCTCTTCCTGCTTTCCCTCCTCCACTGGCCCCCCAGCGCTTGCGGACGGGAAGCCCCCCCGACGCCGCCGCCTCTGCCAGCTCCTCCATGGCCTTCAGCACGTCCCCGAGCGCCTCGTCGCGTCGCTGCATTCCTCTGGGGCGGGCGGTCGCCTCCTCTCCCTCCCCCCTCTTCCCCTCTTCCCCACGCCCCCTGCCCCCAGAAGCCTCCCGCTACCTTCCGCGATCCTCCTCCTACTCCTCTTCCTCCTCCTCCTCCTCCTCCTCCTCCTCCTCCTCCTCCTCTTCCTCCTCCTCCTCCTCCTCCTCCTCCTCCTCCTCCTCCTACTGCTACTCATACTGCTACTCATACTGCTACTCCTACTCCTGCTACTCCTGCTCCTTCTCCTTCCATTCCTTCTCCCCCAAACTTCATCCTTCCCTTTTCACTGCCGCCCTCTTTTCTTTCCCCAGGCCTAGATCAGGATCCTGATGGCCGGTTGCCTATCCAGTAAGTGAGCTCCTCCACAGCTTTCGCGGCCTCCTCTAAAGCGCGCCTCGGCTGTAAAGGAAGAAATGGGGTCCCTGACATACGTCCCTGCAATGATGAACCAAGTCGTGGTTTCTATCAAACCACGGCGCGTGACAGCCTCTACACACCAGGCGGCAACAAAAATCGATGTCGCCCGAGTGCCGCCATCGCTGTGGAAAAGAAAATTTGCCCTGCTCAGATCTAGTGAATCAATCGGGAAGCCGTGATACCACGACTTCTTTTCATCCATTGTGCAATTGACAAAGAAACCTGCTTTGATCTTCCAACCACGCTTGTGCCACTCAACCATATCGTCCGCAGCCTGTGCCGGCCTCCAACCGTATCCCATGACGTTGAACATGCTCTGGGTAACGCGATCAAGCACTGGTCCGAGAGGAGGTGTTGCCAGCACGGTGGTTCCATTGACCACTCCAGCGAGGGGCCCGCAATCGGTGATGAAGAGCACTTGCCCCGCCATGCCGTCCCAGTGCACGTACGGTGCGTCATCGCCGTGTCCAGCAGGAAGCTCGTCCAAAGGATGCGTGGCCATCCTCCTCCGTTTTGGCGCGGGTTGGACATTGCCCAGGCGATCCATACAGTTGCCAGGCGACTTGCAGAACAATCCGCCAAGAGTGCACAAATGGGTCTCGAAGGCTGGGTAGAGAGCCATCCAGTCAGCTTCACGCGGACACTCGTCTCGGCGAGCCCGCCATGCAATGCCGAACGCGCTCACGAAAACATCCTCCCATTCCATCCAGTATCCCATCCCAAAATGCAGAATGCCTTCCTTCCGTCTTTTCCTCTCGCTGCCCATCATCCTCACGGTCTCCCACCACTCACGCGTGCGAAATTGTCGCGCCAAGTGCAAATACTTTCTCTCGCCACGTAGCGGCATGTCTTTCTCACGCCGTGCGTTTCTAAAGACTGCCGCCCTCCTCCCTCCGCCCTCCCCTCCTCGCTCCTCCCTGCTGACTCCTACTACCGGTTCGAACCCCCCCCTTGCGAAAACCGCGGGGGGTCACTACCGGTTCGAACCCCTCCCCCCCCCACGCTCACCGCCAGCAAACGGCACCCGGGTCCCTACCACCGTCCGCACCACATCCCCCGCTGCTGTCCCCAGCACCGCTGTCCTCACCACCACTGTCCCCACTGCTCCCACCACCGTCCCCACTGTCCCCCCCAGTGCCACCACCACTGTCGCACTGTCCCCACCACTGTTCCCACCACGGTTCCACTCTCCCCACTTTCTCCACGGCCCCAACCACTGTCCCGCTGTCCCCACAATCCCACTGTCCCCGCCGCTGTCCCACTGAGTTGTCCCACTGTTCCCACCACTGTCCCCACTGTCCCCGCCACTGTCCCCACTGTACCGTTGTCCCCATTCTCCCACCGCCGCCTTCGCCACCGCCCTCACCACTGTCACCACCACCTCTGTACCCTACACTGTTCCACTGTTTCCACCACATTCCCACTGTCCCACAGTCCTCACTGTTCCCACCATTGTCCCCGCTGTCCTCACAAGTGCCCCCACCAACGCCTCACTGTCCCCGCTCTCGCCACCATTGTCCCACCACGGTCCCACTCTCCCCACTTTCCCCGCGGCCCCCACCACTGTCCCACTGCCCCCACCACTGTCCCACTGTCCCACTGTCCCCGCCGCTGTCCCACTGTGCTGCCCCACCGTCCCCACTGTCCCCATCATTGTCCCACTGTCCCCACCACTTTCCCCACTGTACTACTGTCCCACCACTGTCCTCACCACCGCCTTCACAACTGTCCCACCACTACCGTCCCCACCACTGTCCCACTGTCCCCACCACTATCCCGCTGTCGCCTCAGCAGTGTCCCAACCACCACCGTCCCCACCACTGTCAGCACCGCTGCCCCACTGTCCCCGCACCACTGTCCCCACCACCACTGTTCCCACCACTGTCCCAGCATCCCCACAATTGTCCAACTGACCCGAGGAGCGGGAATCGTTTGCCGGCGGCGAGGGGGGGTGGGGGAGGGGAGGGGTTCGATCCGGTAGTGACCCCCTCCGATTTTCGAGGGGGGGGTTCGACCCGGCAGTGACCACCCCGGTTTTCGAAGAGGGGGGGGGGGCTCGAACCGGTGGTGGACTGGGAGGCGGGGGCGGGCTCGAACCGGTAGTGACCCCCCCCCAACTTTCGAGGGAGGGGGGGGGGGGCGGGTTGGGAACCCCCAGTGACCCCCCCCGGTTTTCCGCCAGCAGCGGTAGAACACGCTCTGTCAGTTCTGGGAGATGGCGTAGAGCGTAGACTGAAGACAGCGCGGACAGCGGGCAGCGTTGGATCTGCATGGCCCAGGTCAAATGCCCCACGAGGATCTCCACGACGTCGCCGCTAAGCCGCCCCGCGGCCACGAGCTTGGTTAAGGCGGCACGCCGGCGCGACACGCGCGCGGCGTGGCGGGCGCCGTCCAGCTTGGGCCCGTCGAGCGGCACCTGCGTCGAGGCGCCGATCTCCTCACCAGCTCCGCCCCATCGGGGGGGCGGCGAGGCGCGGGGTGAGCCGCTCGCCAGGCCGCGCAGGGGGGCCGCCGACGAGCGGGCAGTCCACTGACTCGGCTCGGACAGAGGCCAACCTAAGGCGTCGCCCAGCTCGTCGGGGATCGCGATGGCGTGGAAGGCGTTCTGGATGACGCCGGCGCAAGAATAGCAGACGTCGCGGTCGGCCGTCTCGAGCCGGCCCAAGGCCGCCGCCGCAAGAGCCTGAGCGCGAGGCGGCGGAAAGAAATCCAGGTTGGCCCACCGGATGTCGACGATGATCCGCTGCGCCGCTCTTCTTGGCCACCAGCGAGATGCCCGGGGGCGGCGGCCGACCCGCGGCGGGGGCGAAGCGCGCCGTGCCGCGAGAGCACAGCTCCTGCATGAAGCCGGAGTAGTGGGAGAAGACGCGGAAGGCGGGATCGGAACAACGGCGCGCCAGTCCCAACTCCTTCCGAGGGCGGTCGGCGTCAGTGCTACGACGCGAATTAGTCGTTACACCCCTCAAACACGAATGGTGCCCCGGGGCGACCGCGACCGACGGCGAGACTGGGGCGGCGCCCGTCTCGGTCCAAGAGGCCAAGTCCTCGTTGCAGGGTTCGACCGAGGGGGGGGCGCCATGCGCGATAGCGTTCCCACCGAGCTCGCGAAGGCCCCCGCGGGTGCCGGCGTCTCGCGCAGGGGGCCCAGCGCCGCGCAATTCTCCATGATGTGCTCCTTCGCGAGCGTCTGGGCGGTTGTGTCTCTCTGGGCGGGCCCGTCAAACGAGCGGCCAGCGAGCGCGTTGAGAGGAGTGGTGATCGTGTCGTTCGCGAGCCCCGCGCTGTGCTGGAGTCGTTGCCGAAGTCGCCGAACTGCCCAGGGGCCCTCTTGAAGCCGAGCGGGCGCGTCGAGCGGGGGAGGCGGCGTAACGTCTCCCTGACGACTGGGCGCCATAGACTAGGAACGAGGGGCCTGCGGCGCGGGCCCCTGCGCGCGGCCAGAGCGCAGGCGGCAACCCTGCCATCCAGCGTTGCCGACGCGGCGGCGGGACTGCGGCGGCGGCGCGGCGAGCGCCCGCTCTTCGCTTGCCTTGCGGCGCCCCTTGAGCGCGCCGCTCTCGGGCGCCAATTGCTCGGCGACCCACTTCGAGAGGGAAGGGCGCGCCGTGGTCCCCCGCGTGCGCTGCAGCCCCGCGAAGAACCAGCTCTCGCTCGTCGCGCTCCTGATGCCCAGTGCCAGGCGTGCCCTGGACGCGGTCTTTGAGCTCCTCCTCGCACAGCTGGAGCTGCCGACAGATGAGCTCTATCGAGGCGAGGTCGCTGGCATGCCGGCGTCGATCTCGTCATGCCACACCGCTGTCTGCAAGATCTTGGACATCTCGGAGTGGAACAGCGTGAGTGGACCGTCAAAGGCCAGGCGGCACGCTGAGCGGAAAACGATGTGAAATCCAACCGCCGAGCCGCCCTTCTCCACCATTCGGGGACCTTCTGACCCGGGTCAATCCAGACCCGGGTCAGCAGGAAACCAAAAACTGCAATGCAGGAAAAAAAACTGCATCGCAGATCCTCGCAAACCCGGGTCAGCCAATACGCGCGGCCGCCTTGCGGCCACGAGCGGCTCCCTGACCCGGGTCAGCCAGAGGGGGCCTTTGCAGGATCCTGCAGGATCTGGCGCCCTGGATGACCCCCGTTTGCATTGACTCCCGTCTCAAGGCCCCCGAACCATAAAACTCGCGCGCCGGACGACCGTGCAAGGGCCTGGCACGATCCAATCGGGCCAGGCCTGCTGCCTCATAGCCTTGACCGCGTCACGGAACTCCTTGCGGCGCCGCCCTCGACATCATGCAACGCAGCCAGGGTGCGGAAGTCGTTGCCAGCGATCAGGGGCGAGGCCCAGCAGCGAGCGCAGCGAGAAGACCCCCGTGCCCCGCAATGGTTGCCGGGGCTGCAGCGGCCGCTGGGGCCGGGGCCCCCGCGATGGGAGCGACCCCAGCCGCTACGGCTTTCCCAGCGGCGGCAGGTGCGGTTGCAGGCGCAGGGCCGAGCAGGATGCCTGGCCCAACCAAAGCAGCCGCGAAGCCCGCGGCCCCGACAGGAGGGGCGGCCGATGGCGCCTGCCCGGCGCCTGCGGGAGCGCCCGCTCCCGCGCCCGCGCCTGCAGGGACCGCGGCCTGCGCGGCTCCCGCGCCCGCGAGCGCCGCGTCGTGCTCGGCGGCCATCCGTGCGGCGGCGGGCCGGAGAGCGGAGAAGTCGGCCACCGAGACGGGGGCCATGAAGTCGTAGACGGCAATCCCGCCCGCGGCGGGCGGAAGGCCACCTCCATGAGCTCGGCGGTACCACGCACGAATGTCTGTGCTGTCCGGCCTCAGCTCCTACACGTATCATCGTCGGAGGTACTCACCACGCAGTCCGTTGGGCGAGCAGCACACATAGCAACGACGGCACGAGCATGGAGCAACAGCGGCTGCACCGCATACTCGACGAACAACTTATCTCCCTCAATCATCGGTAAACGCTTCCCCACGCGGCTGTGACTGCTGCAGCGGCGAGCGCCTCTCAGCGAAGGCCGCTCGGCTGCCCTCGGCCGCGGGCGCGGGTGAGCTAGGAGTTGGCGCTTGGCGGCGGCCGCAGCGCGCGAACCCAGCCCCCAGCCAGCGGAGCCCCTCCACGAGCAGCGGGCCCGCAAGAGAGAGCAGCACCTGCTGGAGCGACGTCTGCTCGGAGGGCGCCGCGCCAGCCGAGCACTGCTGGAGCAGGGCGACGCACTCCTCGACGGCGGGCGCGCGCAGCTCCACGGTTTGCCCCGCGCGCGGCGGAGCTGGCGGGCACCCCCAGGCGCAGCCCTCGGGCCGGGGCGCGTCCTGGTCCCTGGGCGACCTCCGCGGCCGGCTGAGGGTCGGATGGCGGCAGCGGGCTGCGCGCGAGAGGCTGGTTAGCGGTAGGGCCCAGAACGATCCAGGACACGTGGAGGCTAATGGAAGCGAGGCTCGCTCCCCCTGGCCGCATATCGAGAGAACAAGGGTATGGAGCAGATGCATAGATTGGCCCTGGCAGTGCAACGTATCTGCTGGCTCCCATTTTTATTCTGGATGTCATTTCAGAGAACGACAGTCATCAGCATCATCAGCATCATCATCATCAGCAGCAGCATCAGCAGCATCATCAGCATCATCATCAGCATCATCATTATCATCGTCGTCGTCGAGGTCGAGGTCATCATCGTCGTCAGTCGGCGACGGGGCTTTAGTATGGGGAAGGGGGAGAGTGAGATGGATGAGGGGAAGCGGAGATGGAGCTAGAAAGCTCGCAATCTCTAACATATAACTATCACAACACAGACAGACCAAAGTACCGAACGTGCTTGTGGAGAGAACTTGCACCAGGAGGCACCCCAGACCCGAATATGCTCAGAATGATTCGCTCGGCCCCTCCGTGGATCGATGCCTGACGGCCACTGAGGTCCGAAGCGGGAAGCTCAAGAGGCCGAAATTGACTGAAAAACGCTACGAAGCTAAACTCGCCGAACCGCTGCAGAGAAGCTGGAAACAGTGGAGGAGGTCGGAAATTCAATGAACATAGAAGCAGACAGGGCAACAAGCACCAGCTGGGGCGGAGACCAGCCCCGAACTGGACGAGGTCGCCAGGGCTGGACAAAACCAGGGCGGAGACGGGGCAGGGCGGAAGGGCTGGGACTTTTCCGAGCCGCCCCGCAGAAGAAACTGCGTGGGGCGGAGCGGGAGCGCCCGGGGCGCCGTCCTAGCAGCGAGGACCTCCACTGGGAAGTCAGCTGCCTCTTCTCGAACTCGATGGCCTCCATCTCCTTTCCTGGCCAGGGGGTGGTGAGGGGCAACGCTAGAAGGGGGAGAACTCGACCAGCAGTCGGCGACAAATATATATATATATATATATATATATAGCCGATAGATCGGCGATTGGCCCCCGATAGCGAAACGACAAGTTCCTGGGCGGGGAGGGCCATCGGGTCCCGAGCGGCGATGAATGGGAGATCTGGGAGGATGCACCCCACCCAAAGCCTATCCCGGATCCTCGTCGCTGGGTCTTCGGGTCGTAGCTCGGGCATCCAGCGGCCGTCTGGGACGATCCAGGCCCACCAAAAACGCTCTCGGCGAGGCGCTGCCGATGGAGAGCATCCCGAGGCAGGAAAATACCGTCGGGCCCCTGTCGGCGATGAACGAGCGATCTGTGGCCGATGCACCCCCCCCCCTCATGTTGCCCCCGACGTGGGGGGGGGGGAGCGCGGGCGGTCTTCGCCGGCCGCCGCCGGCCGGCCGCCCTCGGCCGTGGGGCTGGCGGGGTCAGGGGCGTCCAAGAGGGGGGCGTCCAAGAGGGGGGTTCGCCACGCATGGCCCGAGGCACGTGCGCGACCCAGGGGGGGGGGGGGAAAGCGGCCATGAGATCCGGGGAGATGCCATGGCTCCCATTCATGATATCCAGTTGCGCTGCCGCGCGATTCCGCCACCGCGCTCGGGTGGGCGGGGGCGGGGGCCAATTCCCCCGCCTGGGAGGCAAGACAAACGCAGGGACTTGGCCACAGAAACGAACGCACCCTGGGCTCGATGCGCCCAGGAGCCCATACTATTGCTTCGCAGAAGGCTTGAGGGGCCAGATTATTTCACATGTCACATGTCCATTGCGCCTGGCGCCTTAGGCAGGAGAGCCCGAAATCCCGAGACACAGGATGTATACAAACCGTGCCCGCAGAACTGGCAGAACACAGAACCCCAGACTCTACACGACAGGACACGATCCCTGGGTTGCGCTTGACGGCTCTCCTACCCGCGCGAGGCCGGCCGCCTCGGAGGACACGTTGCCTGGTAAACTTCCACGGGGCCCCTGAGCTGTCGACGGATCACCCTCGGGAGGCAGAAGCGCAGGCAGTGGGGGAGGAGGCGCAGCGACACCCGCAGCAGCACCACGCCACTGTCAACCCCACACGGCTGGACACACCCTCCTCGCTGCAAACCTGGAGCAGGCAATCACTCTCCTCCTGCTCGAGAGGGATGGTGGCGACATCCGAGATCCCAACAATTCCTTCGGAGCCAACAGTCCCCGCACCACAGACTCTCCAACAACAGTTGACGATAATTGATGGGGCCTCGCATGTCACTTGATGGCTGACAGAGCGAGTTAGTCTTTCAACACAAGCAGACTGGTGGGGGGTGACCATCCACTGACCAACGCCTTCCATGGTCAATTGTTTACACGCGGAGCATCCACACTTCATAGTCATTGGCTACCTGGTAACAAGCCTGCGTGGGCCTTGCAATTGATGGCAGTCGCTCTCGGGCCCGTTTCACTCCACCAATCTTGCCAGCAGTGATGGTGAGGATGACTGGCGGCAAGTGTACTGCCTTGGTCCTGCGCGTAACCTCTGGACGCCCGACGCCGTCGCCGTCGCCGTCGTCGCCGTCGTCGTCGCCGTCGTCGTCGTCGCCGTCCCTCACCAGGGTCGGTGGCACCGGGCGTAATGCAGTGCCTTCGCAAAATGCACGCAAGGACCTCGGGGCTCGACTCCGACTGCGTCGGGGTGACAGAGGACCGCCGTGCCCTCCCCATGCCGAGCCTGCCGCACGCGTGCCTGGGGGAGAGGGGAACGACTTCGTGGCACGCTCCAGCGAGACTCCACGCACCCGCTTCGCGCGCTTGGTTCCTAGTAAGAACCCACTCTCGACAACGACACAACTTTCATGTGCACACATATGCGCACGCATTGCGCATAAATTGCGACGACGGCCGCCCGGGGAAAAAGTTAGGTAGCGGGGGGGGAGATTGGAGAAGTGGGCTGCCCCGTGGGCCCGGGGACCCAGTCGCCTGGTATATTATGTACATGCCAGCCCTGCTTGAACCAGGCAGCGTGCTGCGAACGGCTTTCCCGTCCACGCAGACCGAGCTTTTCACCATAGCAGGGACTCGCACCCAACACATCTGGAAGCCAGCCTCTGCGCTCGTGAAACGCCCGCGCGGGGAGGGGAAGAGGCATCGACAAAAGAGGCCCTTGATGGTGCAAGTCGCTCGTGTCCCCGACTCTTCTCGCCGCTTCAAGCAAACGATGCGCACTCCTCCCTCCTGGAATGCCCCACGTATAAAGGAAGCGCGAAGATGTTTGACATCCACAGGGCAGCTGCCACACATACCTACCTAGGGTGACCGAACGGGAAATCTTACTCAGTTGCCGTGCAAGGCAAGTCTGGCCTCAATTCCCCATTTTTGAGGGTGCCCCCCCCCCGCACAATTTTGTCGATAGCCGCACGTCCGTCACAAAAAAGCATAGACTTCAGAAGGGGTGAGGCTGCAAGCGAGGGCGCGGAGGAACCCGCTGGGGAAGCGATCGCATCTCAACATGCAACATAACAAGAGCGGCACATCGGCCTCAAAAAAGTCGCCGCCAGGGGCCAAGGCAGCCCCTCAGTCCAGGATTCAAGCTCAGACAAATACATTTTGCATTCGGCACGAGCCGCACGGCTACCGAGCTCCACAGAGGGCGCGGAGGAGAACGCTGAGGTGGAGGAGGAGGAGGCGGAAACCAACGACGACGACGAGTAGAGAGTAGCGGAAGCACAACTGCATAAAAACTTCTCGGGGCTCCGAACACTTTGTATGTATGATGCGTCGTTGAGCTTCGCGAATAACAATGACGAGGAGGGAGCACCCACTGAAGGCACATTAAATTGCCCACTTCTTGTTACAGAACACCAGCTGATTCACAAGACACCTGTTTTCACATAAGGTAGTTTGATGCTCTGGATAATTTCCCTTAGAACAACATGGTGTTGCCTTCAGGAGGCATTTTTCTGCCGTCAGTGAAACCGTTGCCGTCAGCGATGAGTGGCAACAATAGGAGGGAACTGGTACAGGGGGAAACATCGACCTGTAATCGGCGATACATCGCCGATAGATCGGATAGGCCCCCGATAGCACATTCGCACGTTCCTGGGCGGGGTGGGGCTATCATACCCTTCTCGGCGATCCATGGGCCATTGGGCGTCGCTGCGTCCCCGCTAAATTATGTCCATCCCCCCATCCATAAGGTTGCCCCGTAGTTTTCGGACCATAGGTCGGCTCTTTGGCAGCCGTTTGGGACGACCCAGACAACCCTGGAACGCCCTCGGCGAGGATCCGTTGACGGAAGGCACCCCGAGGCTGGAAACCCACCGAGAACCGACGAAGACGCTGAAGAACCTCAAAAACCTCAAACCTCGAACACCCCCCCCCAATCGTTGCCCATGAAATGACTGTTTTGGCCATCGGCGAGCAAAAGGCTGCCAAGCGGAGCTGGCGGGGCCCGCCGCGCGAAGGTGATGGGGCCCAGGGACACACAAAGGAATGGTCACACATCCCAGGATTCCCCATACTTTCCGTACTCTCTGGATGTTGGCCTTCCCCTCCACCTCCCATACTTTCTACACTTTCCTGAAAAACGACGGTTCTTTGTGTCTGTGTGTTCTTTCACTCCTGAGAAGGGGCGGGCGGCTCCCGCTTCCCTCAGCGTCTGGGTCGCCGCCTCGGTCTCCTGCACGGAGGGCGCGGGCCCACCTCCCCCCCCTCATTCTCCGCATCCCCCCCACCCCGCGGAAGGCAGGAGGCGGACACAAGACGAGGCCAAGACAGGGACAACATTGAACAAAGACAGATCCAGGACCTCTGAGAGCAGGCGCTCCTGGAAAACGTCGCGGGAGCCGCAGCCTTCCAAGAGCGTTCCGGAACGCTCTGGGCGCGTTCCAAAACGCTCTGGAAGGATTCATCCCTGTCCCGCGCCTTACAGAGGGAAGGAGGGAAAGGAAGGACAGACTCTCCGAGGTCGAGGCGATGGATGGATTGTGTTCACACTGGGCGGTCCGCCCAATTTCATTTTCGCCGAGTTTCGGGCCCCAGGGCCATTACAGATGGATCTGGGTCGGAAAGTGCCGCAGACCATAAGGAAGGACGGTTCACGCAGCGACCGAACCACGACAGCACGAGCACAGCAGCACGACCGGCCGTCAGGAGCACTGCACGGTGGTTACGGCGTGAGTCCGCCTACGCATCACATGCTGCTGGCCACGGCTTCCAAGCCATGACCATAAGCATGTGCCTGGGCCCCCATAGGAACGCGCACGGGAGGGCCCCCCACATCATCGCCACACTCGTTTTCCAAACTGTTAGAGCTCCGCGCGCACTTCTTGGACTCCCCTCCCTGGCGCGCGAAGCGCGCATGGGGCTTCGCCAGAGGCGTCAGAAGCGTTGCCAGGGGGGGGGCTTGAGAGCATTCCCCAACACGTGTGCGGAGCGTCGGAAATGACAACTTATGCATTTCCCTCTTGGCCATCATGATCCTCCTCGTCTGGGGTGCGTTCTGACTGGAATGTCGAGGCGACTCCAGCGGTGACGACGGGGGCCTCCCCCGAGGCCAAAAAAGGCGAAAACGAGGCCAGGGTAGCGGGATCGGTACCTCTTTCCTCCTCGGATCCTCATGATCGTCCTCCTCGTCCGCAGCCTCTCCCTCATCAGCGTCCTCGACGCCCCCCTTGCCCGAGGAAGGGGGGCCGGGACGCCGGCGCGGGCCTGCTTCTGGGCGGCCAACTGGGCGTCCAGCAACGCCTTCTGCTCGTTCAACCGCTTCACGTCCTCCGCCCGACTGACCGTGTTGGCATCCTTTACGCCTACCTCGATCTTTCCTTCCGCCCGAGCGACGTCTAGAAGAATAACAAACGGCATAAGTTACACATTGTTGGATGTCCGTGCGGATTTCTTGGATCGGCGCCGGGCCACCCTGCCAGCGCCTCTGGCGCCGCCCTTGGCGCGCTCCGGTCGCCAGGGAGGGGTGGCGCAAACAGCGCGCGGCGGGGCCAACGTCGCCACTCGAGCTGGAAACTGATTGGAGGAGGAAAGGAAAAAGGAGAGAGGGGAGAGGGAGAGGAAGAGGGGGGAGGAGAGGGAGGAGGAGAAGAAACATGAAGGAGGCGGGGGTAGGAGGAGGGGGACGAGGTGGGATGAAGCACGGGAAGGAAAGGCCTCAGACCTTTCCGCTTGACGGGCGGGGACGCCATTGAGAGACTGACCGTCTCGCGATTTTGCTGGTCAGAGTCGGGGTAGAGGTTCCGGCCGGGCTGTCCGCGGGCTGGCGCCCCATGATTTTTCCGCGAGATCCCGCTCGAGGGAATCGTCGGGAAGGGGCGCGGCCTCCTCGCAGTCGGCGAAAGGCGCGACGCAGATGCTTCGTCTTTCAGGGGGGCAAGATAACTGACGCCACAGGCCCCAGTTCCCCCCCCCCCACGGCAGGTCAGCACTCCCGTGTCCGCGCGGTGTAGGTGTCGACTTGAAGGAGACATGCTCATCTGATGAAATCGACTCCAAGTGCCGCGCGTCCTCCGAGAGGTTCGTGGCGACGCCAGGGTGGCCAGCGATTGGTCCCGGCATCTGCTCGCCGCGTTCGTGCCAGTCGGGCTCCTTGTCGTCGCTGGCCCTCGGAATATCTGGGCGGTGATCATCGCCGTAAGACGTGTTCCACGTGGTACTCGGAAAAGAACCCTGGCTATATCCCCCGACATGATCGGAGGAAGCAGCCCCAATAACGTTCGCACTCAAGGCGTGGCGTTGTTTTTCTTTCGTGCATCGTCCACCGAAAATAATCATACAGTTCCTCCCTCTCGTGACGTCGCTTTCATCGGTGAGTGAACTTTCGGCTGAGAACCAATGTTTTGCCAGTTCTCCGTCAGGAAGGGACATGTCGCAACCCGGTTAGACGGCAAGCGTATTCGTGGTATTATTGATGAATTCCTTCCAACAGTAGTTTCTTGCTCAAGTTCACGCGACTGACAAGAGACGTGCTTCTTCCCGCCATTGCTTAAGTGAATGCGCCGTTGAGCTAGGGCCACGATAGACGGACGAGACCCGGCCGGCCGAGAAGGGCGCCCTAAGGGCACGCGCGCGGCGGGGCGGGGAGCTCTTTTGTTATCGCAGCTGGAATAGCTTCGGCGGGCATCGTCGTCGGGCAACGGCGTGGCGGCGATGCGGCGGCAACACAGGGGTGATGACTAAATCATATGATCCAAGATATCCGCGCGGACCGCCGGAAGTGATTGTTCCCTGTGATCCCTCCCCCACCCTTTCTGCATCCTGGCCTCAAAGTTTCCATCCCTGCTGTCCAAACTTCCATCCCTGCTGCCTCCTGCCTCCAACCTCACCCCCCCCGTGGCGTCTGCAACGGGCAGCTCCAACGTCAACCCCGAAAAACTGTCGAAAGGCGGCCCGCTCGTACATTTGGCAGTTTGGTCAATTCTCCCTCACCCCACCGTGCCCCCCTTCCTCCTCCATTATTTTTCCTCCGCTTTACCTCATATGGCGAGTTGCGATGTACGGAAACGGGGGGGATGCTAAGGACGAAGGGGTGGGTATGCGATGTCATCCCACCAGCCCTCTGGGCGCAGGTGGTCTAGAGCGTTTCCTTTTCCAGTTTCCTGCCTTTCCTTGCTCGGGAGGTTTACCTCCCCCACGCCCTCCCTGGGTCTGGAAGGGCTCCCCCGCGAGGGGTTTGACCGTCCAAGATGGCCCAATATAGTTTCAAGAGGGCTTTAGTTAACCCTAGATGGCCTCCAGGATCGCCCAAGATCCCTCAAGACGGCTCAAACTAGCCTCCAACACGCATCCAAAACGCCCCAAGACGGCTTCAAGAGACCTCCGAGCCCTCCAAGGACCCCCCCAACAGGCCGAAATGGGTCCAAAACCTGTGAACAATCGGTGTGGTGTGCATTTTCGCGCTTTCGCTTCCGATGGTTTCTTGAAGCGTCAAGGTGGCCCCAAGATGGCCCACCATCGCCCCACGAGAAGGCCAACAGGGCCACAAAACAGCCCCAAGAGCGCCCAAGCGGTCCGAGAGGGCCCTAAGACACCCCTCTTGGGCCTCCGAAAGGGGGGGCGTAAATTTCAGACCCTCCTTTTTTTGAGCGAAGGGGTCCAAAACCCAAAAGGGTGCCCAAACCCCTTCAACAAACAAAAACAACAAAAAAAAACACCCAACAAAAAATCCCCAAGAAGGCTCGCTGAAGACCCCGACAGGACCCCAAGATGGCGCCCAAATGGCTCTACGAGTTTTCGAAGAAACCCTCACCACGACATATGCCCAACGCCCGACATATCCGCCGACCCCTTGTGGGTCTCTAAGCGTGTGAGATAGTTCCCCCCCCCCCCATAACCACCCCCAGGGACCCGAAACTGGAGATTCGCCCCCCCCCCCCCCCCCCCCCCCCCTCGCCTCCCACGACCCCCCGCCGAACGCGTCACGGGGGAGCAGAGGGCCCAAAAACGGGCCAGGAGCGCACCAAGGGGTCTCCGAGACGGTCCAAGAAGGCTTTGAGTAGCCAAACGAGCGGTCCAAGACGACCAAGAGGACTCCAAGACAAACAGAGAGACTTCCAAAACGGCCCAAGAGGCCTCCAAGATGGGCCCCAAAAGAGCCACCATACTCAAAATTGGTCACATTCCCTTCGTAAAACGTATAGTTTCAGCCTCCTCGTCTTTTCCCCTGTCCGACGCTCCAAGTCGGCCCCCAAGGCTCCCAAAACCGCGACCACATGGCCCATGAGGCTCCCCAAACCGCCACAAGACGGCCCAAGAGGCCCCCATGAGGACCCCGAGACGGCGCATGAGGGCCCCAAGACGGCCCAAAAGGCGCCCAACACGGCGCAAGAGGGCCCCAAGACGTCACAAGAGGGGACCCACGCAGGCTCCAAGAAGGCTTCAGATGCCCCCCGAAGCTCCAAGAGGTCGCCGAAGAGGCTCCAAGTAGTTCCCAGGAACCTCCCCAAGAGGCCTTGCGAGGCGCCCCAAAAATCCACAAGAGGCCCTGCGAGGCGCACCAGAAGTCCGCAAGAAGCCCCAAAATGGTTCCCACGAGGCCTCCGAAGAGCCACTCGTTGTCGTCCTCGCCGTCGCCGTCTCCGGTCTTTTTGTTGTTTTCCCGTTTTCTCTTCTCCGCCCTCCTCCTCCTCTTGCCCATCTTCTGCTCCTCATCCTCGCAGCAGGTCGCCGTCACGGGACGGAAACAAACGAGCGACATACCTCTGGACTCGCTGCTCGCCTCACCGCTGCAAGATCCCTGAGCAACGGCGACACCTCCAGCCTAAACGACGCGACATGATATGATAGCTCTTTCAGATTCGCAGAATCAATGCCACCTCCAGCCGAAACGACGCGACATGATCTGATAGCTCTTTCGGATTACCAGAACCACTGTCACGCTACTATTACTGGCCCCCTCCCTCCCGCGTTTCCCCTCCGGGAGGCAATCCGTTGGCCGCGGCCACCTTTCTAATATGGAGAGCGACAAGAAGAACCCAAACACACTCCGCAAGGCGGAAATACAATCTGGACAAGGACAAGGACGATAGGCGAATAGTGTCGGCGGAAGAGAAGGAGGAAGAGGCGGACGAGATGCATCCTATTCGTTAGGACAATCGGCCCTGGGGCTGTACACGTTCTCCTTGCGCCGGACAGGACCCCGAAAACCGACGGGGCGTGAAGACGATATCCCCTCCAAATGAATCCTTGGACCTCTACCAGAGCCCGTTTGACGCCGTCTCCTCATCCTCACCTTCCTCCATCTATTATCTTTCCACTCCTCTGCCTCATCCCCCAGAGAGGCACCAAGGACCCCCCAAGAGCCCCTGGGGAAGGGAAATACAAAAGAATTGATACCTGACCGACCAAAGAATACAAGGGGTCGGCGGATGTGGCGTAAGCCTGTAGAATCGTCCTCCTTGTCATCGTCCGTTCCTTCCTTGTTTTTGTTCCTGCCGCTTCCCTGCTCTTCCTCATCCTTCTCGAGCCGCGTTCCTCCTGTTCCTGGTCCTCCTTCCCGTCATCACTTTCTGTGTTTCGTTTTCCTCCTCCTCCCCCTCCTCCTCCTTTTCCTTTTCCTTCCCCTCCTCCCCCTATTCCTCCTTCAACATGGCCCCAAACATCACCAGCACCAAACGCACCACTTGCTCCAAAATGGCTCCAAGAGGGCAAAGCACCACAAGCAGCAACACCAGCAACATCACCGCCACCGCCAGCACCACCACCGTCACCAACACCAACAACCGCACGCAAAAGTAAGGTAAACTTCCGTGCGGGGGCAATGATAAAGCATACATATGGTGATGCGACCCTCAACTGTGCGACAACGGCGACGAATGATAGACAACCACCTGCGCCAGAGACGTTTACCACAGGAAGCACCCCGGCGCATCTCGCAATGGCTTACATCTTACCTCTCGTTGATGGAAGCTATGTGTGATCCTTGTTTCCCATGGCCCAGGGTGGATACAGCCACCTGCCCTACACGCGTTGACCACGGGGAGCACCACGTCGTACACTGCACCGATGCCCATCTTAAACTTCAATGCGGGAAGCTATGTGTGAACTTTTTTTTTGTTTTGGAAAACGGCTGCGCAAGTGCATGCTTCCAGCCGTCCCTGATTTACCAAGTCCCCTGCTGATCGTTTCTGGCCGGATGAGCTGGTGTTTTTTTTTTTTCGTCGCGGCCGCAAGCGAAAGCGCAGGCGGCGCCCGAACTCGGCCCGGGCTACGAGGCAAACCTGATTACCTAAGCACGCGAAATAACGGCCGCCGAAACTGCCGCGGAGAAGCGCCGAGGAGCGACGCCGGGGACTGAAGGTAGAGCCGCCAGAGGTGCCAGGTGTGACAGGCGGCTGAAGTGCACCATCCAAGGGCGAGACCACCGGGAAGGCAAACGAATTGCAACTTATCGCCCAGGCGCCAAAAGTGCACGAGCCACCCGAGCAAGGAACGGCATAGCGTGGGGCTGAGCAAGCAGCAAGCAGCAAGCAGCCCAGCATACCTGCGTCGCATGCCACCAGTGGCCTCAGGTGGTTGAACAAGAAAGCGAACCCACGCATGAGCAATCCACGTGGAGGTGCATCCCACCTTTGCAAGGCGGCAGCTGCAAACATGGGTGGCAATGTCTGGGGGCCCGGGGCCTGGAACATGCGAGCATGCTAGCTGAGGCTGGTAGACGCGCGAGTCACCCGGGCGCCAGGGTCACCTCGCCGGGGCCAAAGGAACCAGCACGGACACCGACAGGCGCCAGGGACTGAGGGCGAAAGCCCGGGGACCGCAGCTAGGCCGCGGTCGGCGGCAGGGCGGCGATGGCCTGGGGGGGGCAGGCGGCGCCGAGAGGGGCGGCGCAGGAAGCAGCTGAAGGCTGAGAATGCCCCAGGCCAAGTGCCAGCGGCGCGGCATGCGCGAGTCGAGTCGCGCCACGAAGGGGGGGGGGGCGCCGCGCACCGGGGATGCCAGGCCAAGCAGTGGCCGGGCGCGGGGGAAGGCCAAGGCGAAACAGCTACAGCAAGCAGCCAGGGCCGCGCGGGGGCACGCTGCGCCCCGCCCCAGCAAGGGGCATCGTGCCAGGTACTGACAGCGCCGAGGGGTCTGATCCCCAAGGGCGGGGATCGAACCAAGGCGCGCTGCAGGGGCCGCCACTGGTCGGCAGGGGGCCAACTCACCAGGGATACCAGGCCAGGCTGCGGCCAGGCGCGGGGGCAGGCCAGGGCGGGAACAGACGGCCAGGGCCGCGCGGCGTCACGCTGCGCCCCGCCCCAGCAAGGGGCATCGCGCCCGGCATAGACAGCGCCATAGAGCCCAAGGGCGAGGGGCGAAGCCAGGCGCAGCGCAAGGACCGCCACCGGTCGGCGGAAGAGGAGAGGCGGGGGGGGGGGGGGCGGCGCCAGGAAACGCACGCGGCTAGCGGCCACGCTGTCAGTCGGCACAAAGAAGCGGGGGGGGAAACGCTGAACATGATGCCAAGAAGTGGGGGGTGGCACTGAGGTGGCAATGGCCACGCTTTCTGGTCTCTGGTGCCTGGCTAACGGCCGCGCCCTCTGGCGACGTTTCTGGCGCATCCAGCGACTGCGCCAGGGGGGTCGCGCCCACTTGGACCGCTTGCCGTCGCGGTCCGCACCGTCGCCGTTCCGTCTGCCTCTCTTGCCTCCGCCATGCCAACCAAGATCGCGCCAGGGCTGTCCCGAGCTGCGCTGAGACCCCCCCTCCCCCAAATAATCCCAGGACTGGTGCTGGGGGCCAGAGCTCCGCCCCGCTGACCAATTGGACCCCATGCCGGGTCGCCCTGGTGCGCCTCTCGCGCGCGGCATCCCAGGCGACTTTGAGCCCCGGCTGCGGATCCATCGCGCAGGCGCCGAAGCCGCATCTGCGCCGAGCGCCCAGGAAAGCCCTTGCACGAAGATTCGTCGTTCAAGAACTGGCTGGCGAAGATGCGCGATGCGACGAGAGTTCGGCCCCCCAGTGACTTCAGGGCGACCCAGGCACCCCTGGGCCCCCAGCGAGGCGCAGCTGCAAGAGGACGGGGCCGCGGGAAGCGCAAGTGGCCAACGGCCACGCTGCCAGTTGGAACAAAGGACAGGGGGGGAAGGGGAAACGCTGAACGACAAGCCACGAAGTGCGGGCTCGAGGTTGCTCACGGCCACACTTCCTGGTCTCTGGTGTCTGGCTAGCGGCCGTGCTTTCTGGTGGCGCCCCTGACGCATCCAGCGATTGTGCCGGGAAAGATCACGCCCGCTTGAAACGCTTGCCGTCGTGGTCTGCTCCGTCGCTGTTCCGCGCGCCCCCCCCGCCTCCGTCGCGCCAGTCACGGTCGCGCCAGAACTGCCCTGAGCCTTGCCAGGCCCCCCCCCCCCCCCAGAAATCCCAGGACTGGTGCTTGGAGCCAGAGCCCCACCCCTTCGACTGCCGGGGCCCCCTGCCAGAGGTTGCCCTGATGCGCCTCTCACGCTCGTTGCCCCGATGATCCAAGTCACAACCTCCCGCCTGCACCGCGGCCCGCGAGAAAGGGGGATCGGAAGTTAGTCCAAGATCTCGGTTCAGCCATCAGGACCTTTTGGGCTGCCGCACAGCGTGCAAAACAACGGACAACAACCTTGCAATCATCTATGATCTCCTTCGGAGGTCCGGAGTCAGGGTGCAGGGCGGCTCCTTGACCAGCACAAACATCATGCGCCCTGTTGCCAGCCCAGTGGAACTCGGAAATCATTCATTCTGCCGCCACGCTGTACGGCGGCGAGTCGGCCTTTACCTCGACCGTCCGCGCAATCGGGAAGGCCCCGTGGAACGCTTCCCAGATTCGGCACCTGGGGTTTGAGGAATGGCAGCTTCTACCCACATCGGACATAGCATCGGACGTGCCTTTGCAATCGCTGTGTTAAACGGATCCTCCTCTGACTTGCCTTCTGGCTGCCATCAGGACCTTCCATTCTTCTCCATCCCTAACCGACTGAAAGGGCCCCAGGTGCCACCAATGTCTCAAAACGCGGCCGCTACCACACTGCCTTCATCACTAATCCGAAGGAGACTCCAGCCAGCTCTGCGCGCTAGCGGGCAGGTATGGAAGACCGTCGATGCCTCATAACAAATGTGCCCCATCATGTAGCCACTCGATGGCCACTGGATCCAGGTGGATTCAACGTCTCCATTCCAAAGAAGCCTCGAGATGACTTCAAGCGGGAAGGGGACGCAATCGCACACGGCCCTGTCAAGGTCATTACCAGTGAAGTGTCGGCTGCCATCGATATCCCTGGAGAAACGTGTTTGGGCTGTAGCATCGTACCATTGCCCACAAGAGGAATCGACGGTACCAATCTATGCCTGGCACCTGACCGCAACACTGGCATGAATTAAAGTCTGACTTTCCGTGCCTGGCGTGCTCGGCTTCACTCCAATGTGGCTAAGAAATCTGTGACGTCATAGACTCCTCGTGGCGCTCAGTCCGTTCACCTGTGACCCGGGCGTGGAAGAGCTTCACCTAGAGACTTCCAGAAAATGAGTCAGACCCAGGTGGGTTCCCCGTCCAACCTCCCTGAAGCCATCACACAGGAAGGCTACCTGCAGCTCTGGAGGCCATACCCTGGATCTATTTAGGGTCGACCGCTCTCACATCAACGGCCTCGCCAGAATCTATGAAAAAAAAATAAGTGGCCGAGGTGGTCTGCCGCTCCAACTGTTGGAGGGAGTGGAGCAACCCTGCGCATAATATACACGCTGGGGGTACACTTCGCGCCCAACTTTTGTGGTGCCGTTTCGAGCCCTGTGCGATCCCTGTGCAGCACCCCGTATCAGACCGCGCAATACCTTTCCCGATGGGCCTGGGACTCCTAGAGCCCCACATGGCTGTGGCCTGGGTACCCGCCTTCTGGACACCTCCAGCCTTGGCACCCGCATTCTTTAGTGTCAGAAGCTTCAAGAAACGCCGTAAACCTCTGCAACATCTTTTGGACGCAGTGGCCACCACACGTCTCTTGTTGGCATGGGCGTCCGTGACGAGCGATTGGGCAACGCATCTCTTGGAGGACACGAATCCCAACCAGCTTGCCTAGAGATCCTATGCCAATTCCAGCGACGATGCGATGAAGTGGGTTGCTTCTCTGCCAGCACTAGCTCAGGCGGGGACCTGGCGCTTGGTGGCCACGTGGGCCCTGTCTGCCACCGCCCCCCCGAAAGAGTGCCGGGACTACTTGCAACCAGTGAGCCACAGGCCTCGAGCTAAACAGTGTTTTCCGTGTTCGTTTTGCTTTCGTTTTCCTTCCTTCTGTCATCGTTCTGCCTTTGCTGCGACACGTAATCAACATGGAAACCGTCCATGAAATCGCCAAAACACTGTTTAGCTCGAGCCCGGGTGAACCACTTCCGCCGACCGCGTCGGGGGAGGCGACCCCCTCCCCGAACAGGCGCACGCAAGCTGACGTGCTGGGCCACCGCAAGGAGAGGGCGATCCGGAGCACATATCTTTCCCCTGGCCCCACGGCCTGGGTGACGGATCCAGTGGGACAGGCGCCCAGCTACTGCCTCCTCCCATTCTGCTGCTCCTTCTGCTGCTGGTCTTCCTCCTCCTCCTCCTCCTCATCCTGTTCCTCCTCCAGACCCCTTCCCCCTGCTCCCCCCTCCTGCTGCTCATCATCCCCCGATCCTCATCCAGTCCTCCTCCCTCTGTCCCTGATCCACTTCTTCCCATATCTTCCTCGTGATACTCTCCTCTCCTTCCTGCACATCCAATCGTATATCTACATATATATATGTGTGTGTGTGTGCATCTACATATGTACATCTGTCGTTAATCATCCTCATCATCCGTCTTGCAATCGATCTCCATATTCTCCTCGTCCCATGACATTTATCCTCCTCCTCCTCAGGTTTCGCATTCCCCCACGTAGACCCTGCGCTTTCGTCTTCGATCCCTGCGCATTTCCAACCCAGACGAACTCCCAGGTCTACGCAGGGCGTATCCTCGTTCATCTTGTCAATGAGGATGTCCTGTTTTATCTTGACCTGAGGAGTGTGCAGCATGCGGGGAACCCGAGTAGAGCATCGCAGCGAATGCAGTACACCTTATACGAGTAAGAAGGGAACTGACTTCGGAGAGTATTGGCAGAATCGGTTGAGCAAACTGTCTGGGGGGGCATATTTGGTGAAATAGTTATGGAACCACATTGGAGCGGACAGGAGTACGAGACTGCCGGAAAGAGAGAAAGAGAGAGAGAGAGAGACGTGTACATAGAGAGAGAGATTATGAAACAACAACACAGAAACATATAGAGATATATACCGCCATCGCAGTCTGTCACTTTCTTTCGCGCGCGATCGACGGGCGAACAATAAAACACTTGTGTGCGTATGTATAAATATGCAAATGTTAAGGAACTCTGCACGGATTTCATATTTCGAAGTTGGACCACCTCCCAGGCGCGCGGAGCGCGCAAGGGGCGGCTCTGGAGGCACTGGCATTTTGGACAATGCAGATCCAAGCAATCCGCGCGGATCTCCGATTTTGCCGATTTACGTTCTTCAAAATCCAACAGCTATAATTTACCCAGGCCGCCCAACCTCGCGCAGCACGCCGCAAGACGCGAGGCTCATCTTCGTTCCTCTCGCGCCGCCCCGCGGAGAAGAAGGTCTTTGTTGCGACGCGCGTGCGTTCCCATGCCCACTGCTTCCAGATCCGACCTCACGGGACTTCAGGAGGCAGCGGAGTTCACAATGTACCTGGGCACACTGGAACCCGAATCGGGTCGGACGAAACGGGGGTAATAGTCGGCGACTGCGAAGAGGGTGGTTTGCAAAGGGTGTAGGTTGCCACCGGCACCCTAAGGTACACCTGGGGGACGGGCAGGGACCTCCATAGAACCGCCACGCCCAGAGGAGGCCCGACGAGGACGTAGTCGTGCCCCCCAGGCCCCAACGGCGCCGATCGCAAACTACAACCCGGCGTTATCACACCTCTCTTTTTTGCGGGGGCATCCGAAACCAGGCTCGGCCAACATGATTTGTATATATGGCGCCAACGAAGTGTGCTTGGAGCCCTTTGTACAAAAAAACGCTCTGCGAGCGAAGAGCTTGGTGTTGCTTTTCCGAAGCTCTTGACTCAGAGCGCCCAGGCTTTAGAAACCACTCTGTCGGCGAAGAGTAAGACTTCACAAGTGGTCAATGGCCCTCGGCAAAGCCTGTCACAGCCTGCGTCGTTACGGCATGCTCGCACAAGCATGACAACTGTTACTAGCAGCCCCGCGAGGTGACAAACTGATCTCCCAGGGACTCCCAAGATACATCAATCACCTCGCAATGACGATGGCGACGCCGGAAGAAGCCATGGAAACCAGTAAAAACAAAAGAAACGCACGAAGGAACCGTCGTGGCATTATCTTGGTCAAAACATCCACCACTGTGCTGTACGCTCCGGGTGGGGCGCCCTCAGGATAGAAAGTTCATTTAAAATTAATAATTAGCGCACGCGTGCACGAAATTCTGCACGATCCATGCGCGGCGAAAGTGCTCAAATCAAAGAAGGGCCCTCGGCCCGAGGCGCGAGGAAGTGAAACGTGCAAGGCTCGCGCCCCGATGGCTCCATCCGCCCCCTCCCTTCCACCCACCCGCCCACAACCACCCCCGCCCATCCCTGCCCCCACGCCCCCCCCCCGCCGAAGACGCCTGGCCGTCCAGCGCACCTCCTACGTGCCCTGCGCCTGGCCCGGCTCTGCGCGGCCCCACCCGCGGCCGAGGGCCTTCTGGCGCCTCGCTCTCAACAGCATGTGGCCGAGCGGTGAGCCAGGCCCAAAGCAGCCCGCAGCGCTGTGCCCCCGCGCCCCGAGGACCCCGGCCGCCCGGCCGCGGAACGCACCCCGCGCCGCGGCGGACCCGCGCCGCCGCGCCAGCAGCGCGCCGCCCAGCGGTGACCTCAGCCCGCGGTGCTCCGCCGAGCTCGGCCGCTCGGCGCCGCCGCGGCTCGCCGCGCGGCGCGCCCCGGGCAGCGCGCCGCTGAGCGGCGGGTGGGGCTCGCGGCAGGCCGCCGCGTCAGGCTGGCGGCCCATGGGCGCCACAAGCTGCGCGGCAGGCCACTCGGGCGCCGGGCGGGGCTCGCTGCTGCTGGGGGGGCTCCTCGGCTCGTCCATGCCGCCGAGGGACGAGAGGGTCTCGCTGCCGCCGAGGGACGAGAGGGTCTCGCAGTCGGCCGACGTCGGGACGCAGGCCAGCAGGTCGCGGCGGCTCGGAGGGCAGGCGCCAGCGGCCTTGCTGCCCAGCGCCGCGGGGCCCTCGATCCGCAGGGGCAGGGCGGCGATCGCCGTGGCGTCCTTGTCCTTCGCGTCCTTACCCTTCGACGTCGCGAGGCTCTCGCCGTAGGCAAACGTGCTGCTGGTGTCCATCGGGTCGTCGCCGGCCTTCGGGTCGCTGAGCTTCGGCGACAACGCGAGGGCGCCCTCGTCCGGCATCGGCGGCCACTGGCCCTTGGCCGTGGAGTGGTGCGCCCCGGGCACCAGGGCCATGTTGATGGGAGCGGGCCGGAGGCTCTTGTAGCGGTTGGGCTTCGGCTGGCGCATGGCCGTCGTCGGGTGCAGGTCAGCACAAGAGGCGGACAGGGCCCACGGGAGAGAACGTCACCCAAATTTGGCCCGAGCCAGAACCAGCTTGAGCCAGCGTTACCACACCTCTTGTAGTCACCAAACATAAGAGGGTGGGGTCAGCGAGTCCGATCAGGCAGCTGATTCTCCCGCCGCCTCCCAGGGCGGGAGGCGCCCTCGCATCGAGGAGTGTGCCTGGCGGCGCGGCCAGAACCAGCTGCATACGGCAGGTTTCGCAACCCGCCCTTTTCATATCCTCCCCTTTCATCCGGCCCGAGACACTGCGATTGCGGCAGCTGGTCGTAGTCGTTCGTCGCGTCGCCGTCGCTGCGCTCAATCGTCTGTCGTGCTCGTCCTCGCCGTCGCCATTCGCCGTCGCCGTCGTGTCGGTGGCTACCGCTGCACTCTCTGCCTGGACCTCGCGCTCAACCTACAATCCCAGAATCGCCCGACCCGACGAAAGGTGTCCATGCCCGCTGATTCCCGATGCCCTGGGACATCGGCTCCAAAGTGGTGGGTCATCATCGCTCTCCCTGCCAGTGACCTGCGCCATCGGGTCCCACCCCCCGAGTGCGAGCGGCTTCCATGGGCGGCCCCATGGCGAGCGGTGTGCTCGACGGCAGAGATGGCGCACAGGCAGCACAGCGTCGCGCTGCTCGTATCGCTCCGAGCTGGAAAGGCAGAGGCTGGAGGCTCCTCCAAAGTGGAAGTGGCCAGCTGGAAACGGCGGAAGGGCTGAAACGAACCCGACACAGTTGGGACGTGGGTCGGAAGCTGGGACGGGGCCAGAGCGGGAGGGCAGGCCATGGCCACTCTTCCGAGCTTTCTAGGGGTCCAGGGACACACACATAGATAGACACGGATCCCATATGTTCTTGACTTCCGTCTTCCCCTCCACTTCCCACATGTGCCTAAATGTTCCTGGACACGAGCAATGGGCTGTGTCTGTGTGTCGTTTCCCTCCTCGAGCTTTTCTGTACTCATTCGTGTGGTTGCCCCAGCTTGGCCCCGCAGCACTGTCTACGGCCGCTGCCTTCTCCTTGCTCTTGATGTCGTCTTCGGCCTTGTAGGTCGCCCGCCGGCGCTCCTGGATCTCGGCCTTCATCTGCTCGTTGTACTCCTGGCGGCCGGGCCCAGCCAGTGTCTTCTTCCATGCCCCTCCATCCCTCCCACCCTCGTTCCCCCATCGTCTCCATCCCTCCCTCTCCCCCCTCCGTCTGGCGCCCCCGCTTCCTCTCGCTCTACGTCTCTGTCTCGCACGCGCCCCTTGTTTTGCTGTTGTTGGGGGTCCTCTCACTTGTTCGCATTTTTTGTTGTGTTTTTCCTCTCTCTCTGTCTGTCTGTCTGTCTGTCTGTCTGTCTGTCTGTCTCTGTCTGTCTGTCTGTCTGTCTGTCTGTCTATCTGTCTCTCTCTCTCTATTTCTCTCTATCTGTTGCTGGTTTACTCTCTTTCTCTCTCTGTCTCTGGTCTACTATGGTAGTGTTTACACCCCGTCAGTGGGGACCACCACTGGAGAGCACAAGCACCTGTCGCCCTATCTCTATCTCTCTCGTTATTTCTCTCGCCTTCTTATCTTTATCTGACTCTCTCTCTCTGACTTTCTATGCATGGTTCTCTTACGACTCTTTGTTCTGTCTCTCTCTCTCTCGCTCTCTTTCTCCCTCTCTCTCTATTCGTGTGTAAACCATGCGCGCGACTCGAGCATGTTTGAGCTCTAGTCCAGACGGGCGAATATCAAGTGGATCGTTCTGAGTGAGAACGGAGAGGCAAGACGGAGTCGAACCATCTGGAACAAGGACTGTGGAAAGAGAAGACTTACGCAACAACAGGACGGCGGGGGGAGGAACCAGACGGAAGGAAGCGAAAAAAGGGATGGAGATAGGAAACGTGGAAGAAAAATGAGGGTAAAGAAAAGACGGGAGGGGAGGGAGGAAGGACGGATTGGGGCGGGAGGCAGAAGGCAAGAGGTATGGAAGCAGTGGCACGAGAGGGAAAAGGCCCGAGGGGGAGGGAACGGAGACAGGTAAATTGAGATGGAAAAGGGGCAATTCGGTTAGAGAGATTGTAGGGGAATGGTGCAGAAATTCGCAGGCCCAACGGGCCAAGGCGTGCTAAGATCTCCGGTAACAGGTTAACAATATTTCTAGTTCGCGCGCGCGGGGCGGCCCCTGGGGATCCCTGGACGAAAAGTACCCCGGCAAGGTCCAGGGCGGTCCGACTAAGAGATGGTGTTCCTCCTGGGCGCCGCCCTCGAGGCCCTCCAGAGAGCCCCAAGAAGGGCCGCGAGGCCGCCAAAAGCCTCCCAAGATGGTTCAAGAGTGCTCAGATATGCCACACGCTCGCTTCAAGACGCCCAAGATGGCTCCCAGACGCCCCAACAGGCCCCCAAGAGGCGTCCCAAGAGGGCCCCAAGAAGCAAAAATCGTCCCATCCCTTAAGCAAAAGAGCTTTCACAACGTCAAAAGCGGCCCAAAAGGCCCCAAAGATCGCCCAAAGACGGCCCAAGAGGCCTCCAAGACGGCTCCAAGACCCGCACGGATATTTCGAGCCCTCGACCCCGAGAGGCCCCGCGGAGCGCCCAAGAGGCCCCCGAAAGGCTCCCAAGAGGCCCCAAGAGGACCTCAAGAGGCCTCAAGATGCCCCCACGAGGCCCTCAGGAGGCCCCCAAGAGGCCCCCAAGCGGCCCCAGGAGGCCCCCCAGTTCCCCCCTCAAGCACGCTAGCAAGTGCCAGCGATGCTACAATATGGGTCGGCGGAATGAGCGAAGCGATTGAGTAACATGGATATGGAGGTAACACATCTAAGAAAAAGACCAGGGACGAGGGAGGGAGGATTTTGGTGACAGGAAGGATGAGGTAGGGGGACAGCCTGGACTCGTCGACTGGTTTGGTAAAGTGTTCAACTCTTTGGAAGCGAACTGAAGGGATTAGAGGGCGTGTGTGGGCCGAAATGAAATGCGAGGGGACGTCTCCACGAGCCTCGTGGGGGTCTTGGGTTTTCGCAGGGCCCTTCTCGACACAGTTGGTCCCCCCAGGGTTCTCTTGTGGGTCTCGTAAGGCAACCTTCGGGTTGCCCTCGGCCCATCTTGGGCTAATTTGGGGCCGTGGGGCCGGCTTGGGTTTCTTTGGGTGGCGTTCCCGTGGCTTTGTCGGACGCGTTGGGGCCCATCTTGGGGCGCACTCGAAGCTCACTTGGGCCGTCTGAGCGCGACCCTGGGGTTTTCTAAGGCTGTCTGGGACACCCTGGAGACCGAAAAGGCGAATATGCTAGACGATGTGTGTATACATATCTACATATGATGGCCAGCGCGGGCGGGCCCCAAACTGTTTGGTTCTAGCGATAGATTGTTTGCAATCGTGTTGCAAAAACAATTATGACACCAGAGAAAAACCAACCAGTGGATGCTTTGAAAAATAGTCATGCGATGAATATTTAGATCGATTGTGACATCGATAACGATATCGATCGTGGAATCGATAATCAAAGATTGTAAGGTCGACCGTGAGACCGAGAGTGGAATCGATTCAATGAGATCGATAGGGAGATCGATCGCGAGATCGCTCGTGCGATCTCTACGGATATCGCTTGCGAGATCGATTGTGAGATCGATTGTGAGATCGATGGTGAGATCGATGGAAAAATGGGAAATGAGATCGATGCTGAGACCGACCGATAAAAAAATCGACCAGGAACCCGGTAACCTGGGAACCTCGCCGCCCACCGAACTCGGCACGGGAACCGGGAAACCGGGAACCCGGGAACCCGGAACCTGAAACCCGGGAACCCGGCCTGCCACCATAATCGGCGTGAAGCATTCGCTTTCTCTTTCAATATGCGCTAGGACTCCTTCAGTGCAAGCACTGATTGGGGAACAACAAAAATGAGGGGGGACAACTGAAGAACGAATGGTTCCCAACGCTGCAGAACGCATGTAGAAAACAAAAAGAACGCGGGGCAAACTGGACCGCCTAGGAAATCCCCGCGACCGCCATCCTGACACCAACTAAGGCATTTTGGAGCGCTCTGGGGCTGTTTCGGAAACCTCTTGCCTCCTGGGCCGCTCTTGAAGCTATTGTGGCGCGTTCTGGGGGCGTCTTCAAACTCCCAGCGCGGTCCCACCGCGCTCCTGGAGCCCCCATGGCGCGTCGAGCGGCCACCCTGGGAATCACCAGCTTTGTCCCGTGAAGAATGTGTGTATATATTTGTGTACACGCATACATACGCGTATATATCCATCGCATCGTTGCGGCTTCCGTGACATATTTTCCACGGGGGACAGCGGCGAATTAATGGCAGTCCGGATCCCAAGGCGGGAGAGGGGGTCATAATGTCTTATACAGGTCTTGGGCAACATAATGGACGCAGCCTACGCAATGAAATCTAAGTGTTGCAACTGAAGCAATATTCGTTGTGCAAATTGTGTAATCCAACAACTTTGTGCAATCGATGTGGCGCAATCTTTGCTGGGCAACAACTAGAATGCAACGTATTTGGTGCAAGCTACGTGGCGCAACTGATGTTTACAACTGCTTGTCAGAAACCCATGCCCTTTTGCAAACATGTGCCACCACCCACCCGCAAATTGGTCAGCAAAACCCATGCGGCGGCGATTGCGATGAGTGCTTGGCGTTGGCTGGTGCATCTCTGCGTCCGTGCCAGCCCGCGCTTACTCGCGCGCGCAACGGCCAGCTAGTGCGGCGCGACCTGCGCGGCCGCGGAGGCGCTGACCGCTGGGCACTTTTCAAGCGGGCACTTCAGGGAGACTCGGCGACATGGGCGGGCGCGGTATCATGCCGACGCCGACAGCGGAAAACACGATTATGAGAGTGGCAATGATGGTGACGATGGCGGCGATGACGACGGCAACGCCAATGACGGCGCCGATATTGATCGCGCCCGCGGATAGCGATGATGATGCCCTCGCGTCGGCGATGGCAGTTTTTGAGAGGGTTCGACATGCGCGCGCGGCCGACGCACCTTAGTGGCCCGCGCTCGATGATTTGACGCGCGGATCGTGCCCCCACCCCAGAGTGCGCGCCAGGGCGCTCGAATGAGCTCGACATGCGGCGCGAGACTCGCGTATGGCAGAATTCTGTGGAAAACTGAGAAACCAACTGTTGTTTACTAGAAACCCGCAAGACCGCGAGTGTAGGAATGTTTGAAAGTTGTTGTTGCACACGTTTAGATATGGTTTCGGGGTACTCGTCCTTGCAACCCTCACGACAACAAAAATTGTGGAGGATTTCGATATGCGCGCGACGACGCGCGCGCGCACTTTGCCCAGTTGTCTGCAAGGGTTTCTCGCGACAACACACGCGCAACTAGGGCGCCCGAACGACTTCGGCGCGCGCGGGGGGCCAGTTTGATAACGGTAGCGACGCTGGCGACGACGAAGGCAACGACGACGGCAAGGCCGGGCGACGGCGCCGATGCCGATCGAGCCAGCGACGACGACGACGCCCTCGCGTCGGCGATGAGGGTTTCGAAGAAAAGTCGACGCGCGCGCGGCCGACGCGCTACAGGAGCGACCCGCGTGGAATTATTTGACGCGCGGACCGCGCCCCCCCAGCGCGCGCGCACGGGCGTTCGAATGATTTCGACGCGCGGTGCGAGGGGCGTTCTAGGCGGACTGCCATGGAAATGTTGAAACACCACCGGTGCCCCGCAGCATTCGCAAGGGCGCGAGCGCGAATGCAATCTTGAAAACAACTGATGCTGCGAGACGACGCGTTGTTTACATGTTCTCGGTGCGCTCGATTGCGAGGCGCGACGGAGCGCGCGCGAGTGCGCGCCGCTCCGTTTGTCGCGGGGGATTTATGCGACAAGGCCCGCGCAGGGGCGCTCGAGCGATTTTGGCGCGCGCGAGAGGCCCCGTTTGGCAAGCGATAGTGAGCGTTAAAAAAAGAGTACGCTTGTCTGGGAAATTCGCAAGCGCCCGAGCGCAAGCTTTCCAATGGAAGATTTGTTGTTATGTAAGCTATTGTTGCGGGGCCCTGTTGTTGCTATGTGGTTCCCCGGTTCAAAACCTCGCGGGGCCTAGCGCTTGCTCGAAGGGCCGCGGCGCGCGCGCGGCCAGGCGCGCGCGTGCATTGCGCCCCAGCTGTTGCAAGGGGCCCTCG